ACAGGTAGTGTTGAGGAAGTGGGGGGTGCTGCAGAAGGACATTATAGACAGAGGGACAGGTAGTGTTGAGGAAGTGGGGGGTGCTGCAGAAGGACATTATAGACAGAGGGACAGGTAGTGTTGAGGAAGTGGGGGGTGCTGCAGAAGGACATTATAGACAGAGGGACAGGTAGTGTTGAGGAAGTGGGGGGTGCTGCAGAAGGACATTATAGGCGGAGGGACAGGTAGTGTTGAGGAAGCAGGGGGAGGCTGCAGAAGGACATTGACAGACTGGGAGAGTGGGCCAAGAAGCGGCAGATGGAGTACAACATGGGAAAGTATAACGTTAAGCACTTTGGTAGAAAGAATAGAGGCACAGACTATTTTCTAAATGGGGAAAGGCTTTGGAAACCTGAAGCACCAACAGACTTGGGAGTCCTAGTTGAGGCTTCTCTTAAGGTGAGCATTCAGGTTCAGTTGGTACTTAGAAAGGCAAATTAATGTTAGCATTCTTTTCAAGAATACAAGAGCAGAGATGAACTGCTGAGGCTGTAAAAGGCTCTGGTCAGACCACATTTGGAATAAATTGTGAGCAGTTTTGGGTCCTGTAATAAGGAAGGATGTGCCAGCATTGGAGGGAGTCCAGAGGATGTTTACAAGAATTCATCCCTGGGATCAGGGCTTGTCATATGAGGAGTGGTTGAGGACTCTGGGTCTGTACTCAGAGTTTAGAAGGATGAGGGGGAATCTGATTGAAACTTACCAAACATTGAGAGACCTGGATAGAGCAGACGTGGCAAAGATGTTTCCACTAGTAGGAGAGACTAGGACCCGAGGACACAGCCTCAGGGTAAAGGGATGACTTATTAGAATTGAGATGAGGAGGAATTTCTCTATGGGACTCATTGCTGCAGACGGCTGTGGAGGCCAAGTCATTGAGTGCATTTAATACAGAAATAGACAGGTTCTTGATTAGTAAGGGGATTGAGGGTGATGGGGAGAAGGCAGGAGAATGGGATTGAGAAACATACCAGCCATGATGGAATGACGGAGCAGACCTGATGGGCTGAATGGCCCAGTTCTGCCCCTGGCAGGAATGAAGCTGTTGCCTGGTGACACTGAACCCTGTACTTTCTTGGCCCCCAGTTCCTGTGGCAATCTCCAACCTCTCTGATGACCTCCTCAAGTATTACCAACAGATTACTAGAGCAGTCCTAGGGGATGACCAGCAACTCATGAAGGTGAGAGGTCACAGTCAGCGTGACATCTTCAGCATGTATCTGTGTCTCTGTTAGGGTGAGATTTGCCGTGTATCTAACCCCGTGCTGTCCCTGTCCTGGGAGCTTTACTCTGTATCTAACCCCGTGCTGTCCTTGTCCTGGGAGTGTTTGATGGGGGGTGTCAGTGTAGAGGGAGCTTTACTCTGTATCTAACCCTGTGCTGTCCCTGTCCTGGGAGTGTTTGATGGGGAGGAGAGCAGTGTAGAGGGAGCTTTACTCTGTATCTAACCCCGTGCTGTCCCTGTCCCTGGGAGTGTTTGATGGGGTAGGGACAGTGTAGAGGGAGCTTTACTCTGTATCTAACCCTGTGCTGTCCCTGTCTCTGGGAGTGTTTGATGGAGGGGGGACAGTGTAGAGGAAGCTTTACTCTAACCCTGTCTCCTTGCCTTGATGCTGACTGGTTTGGGATGGTTTTGATTGGTTTTCCTGACTGTCTCCCTCAATCTGTCACAGGTCGCTCTTCAGGATCTTCAATCGAATTCGAAGATTGCTGCCCTGCTCCCTTACTTTGTCCACGTGGTCAGTGGGGTAGGTACAAGCTCTGTTCCTGTTACACCCCCATTCCAGACTGGGTCTCGTCCTCATCCTGCTGCATCACTCCGTACCTTCCGCTGAGTACAACACAGCTGTCGTCCACACTCCCTCGGCGCTGACCCTCTGACAGTGCGGCGCTCCCTCGGCACTGACCCTCTGACAGTGCGGCGCTCCCTCAGCGCTGACCCTCCGACAGTGCGGCGCTCCCTCGGCGCTGACCCTCTGAGACAAGTGGCCTAGTTACTTGCCACAACCTTAGATAACCTTCTTCACTATTCGCTATATCACCAATCTTGGTGTCATCCACAAACTACGAACCCTGCTTTCTATATTCTCACCTGAATCATTTATATAAATGACAAACAAAAGTGGACCCAGCACCGATCTCTGTGGAACACCGCTAGTCACAGGTCTCCAGTCCGAGAAACAACCCTCCATCATCACTCACTGTCTCCTGGCGTTAAGCCAATTTTGTACCCAATTGGCAAGCTCATCCTGAATCCCGTGTGATTTCACTTCACTAATTAGTCTACCTTGCGGAACGTTGTCAAAGGCTTTACTAAAGTCCAAGTAAACAATGTATATTGCTGTGTCCTCGTCAGTCTCCTTGGTTACCTCCTCAAAAAACTCAATCAAGTGTGTGAGACATGATTTCCCTTGCACAAAACCATGCTGACTATCTCTAATCATTCCTTGCCTCTCCAAATGCATAGAAATCCTATTTTTCAGAATCACTTCCAACAGCTTAAATAAGCCTGAATCTCATGAGCAGCTCAAAGATCCATGCTACTTTTTGACCACCATTTTAGAATTGCCTGCGCTTCTTTTATTACTTCTGCCAAAAATGGACACGTTTGCCCACTCACTTCGTCTATCTACGTCCTTTTGTAACGACCTTAACCCTCTTCACGCCTCGCTTGTGTTCCTATCTCTGTGCCAGCAGCAAATTTCCCAGTCAGACCTCCATCCAAACCATTGATCATTGAGCTCCTAGCATTGCCCTCGGAGCACGTGTTACACTGTACCATCCAGAATCTGATCATTTTATGCCCACTGTCTTGCTTCCTATTAACCAGACAATCCTCCTTCCCTGTGATTCTATTGACCCCCTGCCCCATTTGACTGGTGTATAGTTAGGAAAGCTTTCTAGCACCTTGTCAAATATCTTTGAGAAATCTCAGTGCAGTACATCGACAGGTTCCTCTTTTACCCACGGCACATGTTAGTTAGTGAATGAACCAGTCAGACAGGATATCTCCCTTTCACTAAAACCACGCTGACCCTGGCCCCTCTCCTTCTCTCCATATGGACAGGTTAAATCGGTGAGTCATGACCTCGACCAGCTGAATCGCCTTCTGCACATAGTGAAGAGTTTAATCAGTAATCCCTACCTCTACCTGGGTAACTACATCAAGAGCCTAGTCTCCAGTGTCATGTACTGTATTCTGGAGCCTCTCGCAGCCTCAATAAACCCTCTCAACGATCACTGGACCCTGAGGGATTATGCTGCATTGCTCCTTACTCACATCTTCAGGTGAGAGCCTCCATTCTAATCTGGTGTTTCTCTGTCTTTCAGAGTGGTCTTTAATGACCAAGATCACAATTTTATAATCACAGGCACAGGAGGAAACCACTGAGATGGTACTGTGCTCGGTAACTCCCGAGTGTGGGATACGGGGGGACTGTGCTCGGTAACTCCCGAGTGTGGGATACGGGGGGGGACTGTGCTCGGTATCTCCGAGTGTGGGATACGGGGGACCGTGCTCGGTAACTCCGAGTGTGGGATATGAGGGGACCGTGCTCGGTAACTCCGAGTGTGGGATACAGAGACCGGGGACTGTGCTTGGTAACTCTGAGTGTGGGATATGGGGGGATTGTGCTCGGTAACTCTGAGTGTGGGATACGGAGACCGGTGGGGGGGCTGTGTGTAATCTGATGAAAACTTTCTGAGTAGCTCAGATTCTGTGTGGTTTTGATGAAATACTGTTATTTGCCAACAGGTGCCACGGTGATTTAGTGAGTGCACTGTCCCACCAGATCCTCCTGACCCTCCAGAAGGTGCTGATCGATCCTGTGCGGCCTCTCTGCTCTCACTATGGAGCCCTGGTGGGTTTACATGCCCTGGGCTGGAAGGTGAGGAGCTGCCCATGACAGTCCCATCAAATACTAAGTAAAGCTTCCTCTACACTGTCCCAGGACAGGGACAGCATGGGGTTAGATACAGAGTAAAGCTCCCTCTACACTGTCCCCCCATCAAACACTCCCAGGGACCAGGACAGCACGGGGTTAGATACAGAGTAAAGCTGCCTCTACACTGTCCCAGGACAGGGACAGCACAGGGTTAGATACAGAGTAAAGCGCCCTCTACACTGTCCCCCCCATCAAACACTCCCAGGGACAGGGACAGCACGGGGTTAGGTACAGAGTAAAGCTCCCTCTACACTGTCCTCCCCATCAAACACTCCCAGGGACAGGGACAGCACGGGGTTAGATACAGAGTAAAGCGCCCTCTACACTGTCCTCCCCATCAAACACTCCCAGGACAGGGACAGCACGGGGTTAGATACAGAGTAAAGCTCCCTCTGCACAGTGCCCTGGCCATGTTTTCGGTTATTGTGTGTCAGTGTGTCTCTAGTCCAGACACCACTCTGTTTGTCTTGCTGAAGCTGAGCTTTGTGTTGAGCTGCCTGGTTTCCCACACAGAGTGCACGGTGTGCTGTGTATCTCTGTCTCTCACACACACATTCTGGTGTTTGCAGGCTGTGGAACGTGTCCTTTACCCCCATCTGCACATGTACTGGCCAAACCTGCAGGCTGTCCTCGATGATAACTCAGTGTCCAATGCACAGGTCAAAGCTGATGGTCACAAGGTGTACGGAGCCATTCTGGTAGGTCCACCATCCCCAGAGCGAGCGGACTATCTCTCGCTCACACACTAACTCTCTCACTGTCCTTTCTCTCTCCATATCACAATCATTTTCCATCTCCCTCCCTCTCTCTTTCCCTCTCTACACCTCTCTGTCTTTCCCACTCCCACCCACTCCTCCCGCAACCTGTTCCCCTCCCATTCTCTCCTGCTCTCTCTCTCTTCCCCCCACCGCCCTCTGTACCCTCCGCCCTCACTCCCTCACGCTTTCTCTCCCCCCTCCATCACGTTCTTTCCCCTGTCCCTTGCACTTTTTACTCCCTCCCATTTTCTTCCACCGCCTCTCTCACCCCCTTGCCCCGCCTCTCTCACTCCCCTGCCCCGCCTCCCTCAACCCCCCCGCCCCGCCTCTGTCATCCGCAACCCCCCCCCCAAATGCTTGGGCTTGCCCGTGGTGATGAAGTATGTTCTGTGCCCCCAGGTGGCGGTGGAGAATTTGTTGAAGACTAAGCTGCTGATGGTGGTGTCGGCGGATGGAGGCAGCGTTCCGAGCTCTCCGGCAGGAAGTCCGGTGCGGGAGCCGCACACCGAGTTTGGTTTTGGCATCACCAGCCACCTGCTGCAGACTGGCACAGGCCCGAGCTACGAGCTGGCCCATCCTGCTCCTGGCCTGGCCCAGATGTACAGTGAGCTGTATTCCTTCTTTGGGGACAGCCTGGCCACTCGCTTTGGGACAGGCTCCAGGATCCCGGCTTCAGCTTTCCCGTCTGCCGGCAAGGAACCCATTGGCCAGGCGGCCGCAGCGGGCACTGACCCAAAGACCCAGAGGGCAGGTCTCAATGGCACTGACCAAGGCCGGAAGATGCCGCAGTTGACCATGAGTTTGGCCGATAGCCCGGTGCAGGGGAGTAGCCCAGGGCCTGATCAGCCCTCGCTCCAGAGAGCCAGCCTTACTTCCCGAACCAAATCCACAGCTCAGCTGCCGACGGACCAAGGTCTGCTCCACCAACGAGGGACCCTGGGTCTCCGGGATGTCTTCCAGAGGGCACCTGTCTGCCCTCAGGCTGGTCCCTCTGCCTTCCTCATTGCTGGCAGGCAGATGGGCCGAAGGGGGAAAGGCCGCCTTTTCCAAACCAGCTTCCCGCTGTATCACAAAGCCAGCTTGGCTTCCAAGTACAGTCAGAGGCTGCCCATGATTGGCCGGGTTAACAAACCAATCAGGAGGTGGCTCAGGGCTGACTACCCCCTGTACCTGCCCCTTTAACTGGGGGCTGACTACCCCCTGTACCTGCCCCTTTAACTGGGGGCTGACTACCCCCTGTTACCTGCCCCTTTAACTGGAATTCTCGCACCAGCTGAAGTGACCATGAAGAACTCTCCTTCTGAACCCCTCTCCTCACCCTGACGCACGGAGACTCTCACCAGCCCCCTCTGTCGCTGTCTGAAAGGAGAGAGCAGCCTGATGAGAATCTGGGGCTGCAGAGATGTTGTCTGGAATCCCAGCGGAGTTACGTTGTGCAAATTGAATCGCTGTCTGAAACAAACAACGGGACGACCATATTCCTCACCCTGTCATCCCCATGTAGATAATTCCCATTCTCACCATTCACATTGTTTTAGTTGTGTATCTGATTATGGAATGGTTGATTTATGTAAACTTACAGAATGACACATGAAATGTAGTGACTTTTGTTGGATAATTAAATGACAGTTTCTTCAATGTTTTTGAGATAGTAGGAACAGCAGATGCTGGAGAATCTGAGATAACAAGGTGTAGAGCTGGATGAACACAGCTGGCCAAGCAGCATCAGAGGAGCAGGAAGGCTGACGTTTCTGAATAAGGTTCTAGGCCCGAAACGTCAGCTTTCCTGCTCCTCTGATGCTGC